AGGGTGGTCTCTGGGTCTCCATAGGAACCATTATCAGTAGGGTGCAAACCCCTCCTACAGGAGCCTGTCCATTGTCCCCAGAGGCAGGGAGCAGGCCCACCCCTGTGGAGGGATGAGACAGCAGTCTGGCAACTGATTCCCTCAGGGGAGGGAATGCCTGGGCATCTGCCCTCCCCCCACACTAAGACAGTGGGGAGGATGACTATCATCAACACAAAGCCAATTCCTAGGATTTGGTTGAAGTCTGACAAGTATTTCACCCATTCAGACACCAGCCTTCATCCCCAGGGCACTCTCTTTCTCCGCGAGGTTCCATAACCTGTGGCAATGGAAAACAAACAAACAAAAACCCAGCCACACATATCTGGAAAGCAGTCTTGGTGGCATAGTTGGTTACACTTTGAGCTATGAATCCCAAGGTCAGTAGTTCAAACCCATCACCTACTCCAGAAAGACAGATGAGGTTTTCTGTAAAGTCTTAGACTCTTGAGAACCCAATATAGGGTCTCTATGAACAGGATATTACTCGGTGGCACTGGGGTAGGGACCCACATGGAAAGTGACTCATAATTAAGGCTGAATCTGATTTGAGGAAGCACCTCCTCCCTAGGCCTGTTTTGAGTGCCTTCCCTCCCAACGGTCTCATTAGTATGTTCCTATATGAGACACTGCTCAGTTGCTTTTCAGTAGTCAGTTCTTTCACAAGTGAATCACCGAATCGTAGTCTGGAAGTGCCTCTGCAGCCTTTCCACCATCAGTGGCTCTGCTGTATTTGAAAACCAGCGGCACAGCTACCAGCATCACAGCTGCACACAATGACATTAAATTAAAACCAGTCCATTTGAGCCCAAATACAACCTGGAGTATATCCTGCCTGAAATTACAGACCAATTTAACAACAGATTTCATGCACTACCCACTAAGGACTGAAGACAAGGTACCTTGTGCAATCAAGGATATCAAACATGAAGAAGACAAATGGTCATTAAAAGAAAGAAATGGATGTCAGAAGGCTGACACTTGTTCTTGAAAGTAGAGAAACTAGTCATGCACTTTTGACGAAGTTTCCTTTCAAACCTTGGTGAGCAGGTAGGATTTTGTCTTTTCGAGATGTACAGCATTCTTTATAGGACACATCAGAAGGATTTGATTTGGAAGTCTCACTATTTCTAAATGAGTAAAGGGAGCTGGACTTTACCTTAAACACACCTATTATAAATTAAAAGAACTGAAATACTCCTTTGGACTTAAAGGTGAAATGCTGTAGTGTAAGAAGCAGATGACTGATATCCCAAGGTTGTGGATTTAGAAGTCATTGGACTTTGCTTCAAATCTCTTCCTTGTGAAGTTGCCCAATAACTGACAGCCGAAGACTCTCACATATTTGCTACTTTCATTGCTTTTTATGACATGTCTTAGTCCTGCATACATAGTTTTGCCCTAGTGAATGAGTGTCATTGAAATTTTTGCCTTTTGTATATAATGCTCATTGTTTCCTTAAACAATGGTCAGCCACTTAAGTCTTAATCTATATAAGTGAACATTTCATGAATTTTAATCTAAAAAGCTTTCCTGTGTATGTATATTTTTCTCTTCTCAACAGTATTTAAAATTCTATACCATGGATTAGACTAATGATATTATTAGAATTACCAAATGCCTTCTTCTATTAGAAGCTGATAATGTGATCTCTAATGTGAGCGAGGGATATATATGAACCTCAGCTATAGAAATGGACTTGGAGCTTACACTTAATCATAAGCCCTCATCTAAGAGTAACTCATTCTTACGATGTGGCCCTGCTTACTACTTCTCCTTGTGAAATGATTATTAAAATATCAGTGCAACAGCAAAATCTGGTAAAGAAGTCAGATGGTGTCTGATTACCAGATATAATAGTATGAGGTCTTAAAAGCTAATGTTAAAATAAGATGCCAGCCATCTAAGTGAGGTGGCAGCTAAGCCTGCACAGAAGGCACACACCACCCCATGGGATCCAAGTGCTAGAAATAAAAAAATTCAAGCCAGAAGAGGGAATTCTAATAAAGCTTAAATTTTGAGCACTCAGTCTGCAGAAAGCTATGGGTGATGGTAAGAACCCATAATCCATTTTCAGAGTGTCCACATGGATTAAGCCTCTACTGAACTCCCTCAGATCATTGGCCAAGGATGTGAATAGTTTACCCTCAGATAGAAGATATGGGAGTGGATTACTGCAGATATCAAACTCAAATTCACTTGCTGAGTGGATTCTGACCTTGGTGACCCTGTAGGGTAGGGTTGAGCTTCCCTGGGGGCCTCTGAGGCTGTAAATCTTTGCACAGGTAGATGGCCTTGTCTTTTTCCTGTAAAGTGGCTGGTGAGTTTGGATTATACTTTAACATAAAGAAAACAAAAAATTCACAACTGAGCTAATACGCAAATCATGATCAATGGAGAAAAGACTGAAGCTGTCTTAGATTTCACTTTACTTGGAATCATAATCCACACTCATGGAAGTAGTCAGTAAGCCAAATAATCTATTGCACTGGGCAAATTTGCTATAAAAGATTTCTTACAGTTTTATAAAGCAAAGATGTCACTTAGAAGCTAAGGTGGGTCTGATCCAAGTCATGGCGTTTTCAATCATTACATCTGCTGGACAATGAATAGAAAGCTCAAACAAGATTTGATGCCTTTGAATTTCGGTGTTGGCAAAGAATACCAAACATACTATGGACTGCCAGGAGAGTCAACAAATCTGTGTTGCTAACAACTTAGTGAGAATGCTCCTTGGAAAGAAGGATAAAAAGACTTTCTCCTGCATTCTCAGCCATGTCATCAGGAAGTACCTGTCCGGGACGAAGGCCAGCATGCTTGGAAAATCAGAGGTCAGCAAAAAAGAGTTAGACCTGAAATGAGGGCAGACACACTGTTGGCAACCATCAGCTCAAATATAGGAATGATTGTGAAAGTGAGGCAGGACCAGGAAATGATTCTTTCTGTGGCACACAGAGTGACTTTGAATAGAAACCAACAAGGGAAATATAACAGCTAAAATAACAAACAGTGAGATAGTTAAAGTTTATTGTGCCAACCTGGCTGATAAATACATATGGGGTTAATTGAAGGGTGGAGAGATAAATAACTCAGGGAACCTTGCCTTTCTAGTTCTAGGGTCTCTTACTTTATGATGGTCGGACCAGGGTGCAGCTGCCTTAGCCAGTTCCCTGCTTCAGCTGGCAAGGCTCACTTCCTGCAAGACATCCCTGAGGAGAAGCCACATGGACCTACCCTGATGCAGCCCTGGGTGCTGGAGCAGCTGTGTGGGGACCCCTGCCAGCGCTGACATGCTTACACGGTCACTATTTGGCTTTCCTCCTGCAGTCGGCATCATTGCATGTGTTTTGTGAGATGGAGAAGGACTTTGTAGATTGGTGTTGGACATATGGGCTAATGTCGGGCTTATGGGCTTGGACAGCACTGGGTTGGGATGCTTTCTTAATGTACACTTACCCTTTATCTAAAACTCTCTCTTAAACATATGAGTTTCTGTGGATTTGTTTCCCTAGTTGACCCAGACTAACACAAACAGCAAGCCATACGAAACCAAAATGTTGGGAACTAGCCAAGTGCCATTCATGATGAGGTTGTAAAAGAAGAAAAACAAACTAATATGGAACTTCAAACGTAAGCTACCTATGGCAGTAGGATTGGAGGAAGGTTTATCAGCAAGCTTTAATATGCAGATAACACGACCTTTTCAGCTCAAAGTGAGGAGGACCTGAAACACTTGCTGATGAAGAGAAAGGGTTGTAGCCTTAAGTATGGATTACAACTCAGTGAAAAGAAGACCAAAATCCTTACAACTAGACCAATAGTTTTATTTTCTCGCAATAAATGGAAAAAAGATTGAAGTTGTCAAGGATTTTGTCGTGCTTGAATCCACAATCAATGCTCATGGAAGCAGCAGTCACAAGATCAAAAGAGGCACTGCCCGGGGAAATCTGGTGCACAAGACCTCTTTGGAGTGCAGAAAAGCAAGGATGTTGCTTTGAGGACTAAGATGCACCTGCCCCAAGTCAGGGTATTTCCCATTGCCTCATATGCATGTGAGAGTTGGACCCTGAAAAAGAAAGACCATCAAAGAGCTGATTCATTTGAATGGTGGTGCTGGTAAAGAATAGTGAAAGTCCCACGGACTGCAAAAAGGGCAAATTAAATCTGTCTTGGGAGAAGTATGACCAGAGAGCTCCTTAGAAGCAAGGATGGCGAGACTTTGTCTTACATACTTTGGACATGTTGTCAGGAGAGACCAGTCCCTGGAGAAGGACATCAGGCTTGGTAGAGGGGCAGCGAAAGAGAGGAAGGCAAGATGGATTGGCGGAGTGTCTACAACAATGGGCTCAACCTAGGAACAATGGTGAGAGTGGAACAGGAAGGGGCAGTGTTTTGTTCTGTTGTGCACAGGATCACAATGGATTGGAACTGACGAGATGGCACCTAACAACAACATCTATGATAATGAACAGATCGCCAGGATATTTTCATTGACAAAAAAACCAACAACATGCAAACTCCTAGAAGGGACCTGGAAGGTCCGGAGCTCAGCCTCCTTGGCCAGAGTTTCTATGTCTTCAGAGTCTGTTGTTCAACACCAGAACACCAAGTCCAGAGTGGGGGTGGTAATGCCCCAAGGGGGGCATAGTAAAACCCCTCACTGTGACTCCCCTGGGCCTCATGCGCCAACTCTGAGAGTCATGTCAGGAAGGTGACACCAGCATCCCAGGTCTAGAAAAGTCTGTGTACTTATGTATGGCCGAATGACTCTGGAGCAGGATCTTAGGATGCCCCATTGTCTTTTCTGTCACGTTTTCCCTCAGAGCGGATTTAAAAAAAATACAGCTGGTTCCTAACAATTTACATCTAGCTTCATCCTCTTACAGCAAAAATTACTCAGGGGTACTCACCATTTTGTGGCTCTGGTTATGCGAATGTTCTCGCTGAGCCTAAGGAACCACTGAAGTATGAGGGCTGGGAGTGGAAACAGAGCCACTAGTCAGTCTGGAAGCAGATGAATGTTTTGTCCAAGCAGTCCACCAAAGTATTGGAAATGCTTCTTTGTAGTTGCATGAGTGTGTCAGATGGCCACCTCAGGTCCCCAGCTGCAAAGACTGGATTTCTGCTCTCTGTGCCATGCTTGGGACCTGAAATGAGAGATCAGTGGGGGGAGAGACTTAACTACGAAGAGGGTGGTAGGTTATTAGGCATCCTGGTGGCATAGTGGTTATGTATTGGGCTGTGATCTGCATGGTCAGCAGGTAGAAACCCCAGCAGCTCCAGGGGAGAAAGATTGGGCTTTCTACTTCTGTAAACAGTTACAGTCTCTGGAAACTCACAGGGGCTGGCTGTGAATCAGCATCGACTTAACTGCAGGGAGATAGGTTACTGGCCTTCAGCTCTTGCCCTAGGCAGGGCTTCCTATTAAGCTGGGTGGCTCTTTGGTGGCAGCCATGTGGTTGAATCACTAGCAGCCAATCCCAGTCAGTTCCTGGCTCAGGGGACCCTGGCGATTTGGAGTAACACTGGGTGAGTCAGCTCTATCAACTGCACATCACCTCTATTAAGATGTTCAGTCACATCCCACCCAATGAATTAGGATTACTCATATTATTTTTTACACAATCATGATGAAAACATCTGCCTTCCAGCCAAAGAAATTCCTTGGAAGTGCCTCTGATTAAATACCTCCTGCAATTGATATAAATACGGTCCTACCCATGTTTCTTAATTCGTCATCTGTTTTAAAGGCACATAACAATGAAACAAAAATAAGAACAAACTCCCCGCCACCAAGTGGATTCAGAATCCTAGCAAGTCTACAGAGGGGTCCCTAGGGAACCCTCTTTAAGGGAGCACACACATCAGCCAGACTCCCTGTAACAATTCACAATTCAAGGCAAGGGGATCTATTCCTGGGCAGTCTGTCTGTTTCTCTGACCAGCACGATTTAGCAGAAGCCCTATCTTGAGGAAGCACCGAAAACAAGGGGGCGGGGGGCGCTGCGGACGGACGGAGGAGGTGGGAGCAGGGCACCGAGCATCAGGCTCCAGGCCAGGGGCTCAGTCCGGCCCGGGGCGGCAGGTGAAGTGGGCGCTGCTGGTCTGGGAAACGCACTTATGCTTAAAGAAGATGCACGCGAGCTTGCACGTGAAGGTGCCGAGCCACCCCTCCAGGGGCCCCCCGATGCCGCAGCGATGGCTGGGGGGCCGGGGACCCCGCGGCTCCGGTCAGCGGCCGGGAGGGCGGCGAGGTCGGGGCCGCGCGAGAGCG